TCCCTTTCAGTCAGGGGAATGGAACTCCGTGTTCTCGAGAGCCTTATCCTGCCTGTTTTAGATTTCTCTTTACTTCAACACACATGATTCAAATGATCAGCTCATCAGTAAGCTCTGTAGAAGGCTGAAAAAAATCATGATCAATTGAATCAGGTGTGTTGGAGTAGGGAGGGATCCAGAACAGGCAGGACATGGTTCTCGAGGAACCTGAGTTTCCTACCCCTGCCTTTAGTCATGCAATTTTTAATTTTATAAAGTGTAGGCAAAAATGGTAGTAAAGGCAGAGAACAACTGGCAGAAAGATGTTTCATAAAATAAATGACAATGGAAAGGTAAAAATGCGTGAGCCACAGCTACAATTCGAATCACCTTTGCATTTCTTCTTCGCCCCCACACACCCATGCTCTTTAAGTTTTAACTTAACTTTTGTACACATTCCAGCTTAATTCTTGTGAGAACATTTTGACAACTTAAATGCATGGTATACAAAGCTATTTCTAAAACAAGTGCTTCCGTCTCTGGAGCAACTTTGTTTCAAAATGCTGGTACTTGGCTTAGACTCTCTTTCTTTCTCAGCACACATTTCATTCACCCACTTCTTTCAGTCTACAGACTCTTTCTGATGTAGTCCAGAATGGGTACACTCAATTCAGCCTATTCAGGGACAAATTGGAGTGAAAAGTGGGCATTGTATAACATACTTTTAAGCGTTACGCTTGAATATTTTGGAACTGGAACTTGGAAAACTTTTGCAGCCTCAGGATGAATGCGGTTCACGTGTAAAAGTGCTCATGGGAGAAAGACCATAATCACTTAAAGCAATCACAAAGGGAACAGTCATACCAAGAAGTTAGAATTCTGAAATAAAGCATTTTTTAATATTGAACAAATGACTCTTCTTTTATTTACATATGGTTTAGAATCACTGAACTAATCCCCCCCACAAACCAACTCACAAGGCAATGTGAAGACTGTGATAGAGGTGGAAGTAGCAGTGGCCTCTGCAGTGTTTTATGTCATTGTGTGTTGGGGAGGAGGCCTCACGTACAGAGCAAGGATGAGACTTAACCAAGTGCTGAAGAAAGCTGTGTCTGTCCTTGGCTGCCAAATGGACTCCACTATGGAGGGAGCAGACAGAAAGATGTTAGCCAAGTTGACATTCATCATGGACAGCCCTTCCCACCTCCTGCACTACCAGACTTTTACACCGTTGATACAGAACAGCAATAAGAGCAATAACAACTATTATATAGCGCACACATACATGCACAAAAAGGAGAAAAAAAAGCCTCGCGAGAATAAGCGGATTTGAAAATTATTTTGATAATGTTTGATCGTTTCATAAGAGTGTATTAGTTTTTCTTGCTGTAAGCAATGAATTTTCCCTCTATGTGGATCAATAAGGTCTTCGCGCCTCCTATTCTAGAAGCTAAACACGACCAGCACCTTTTAAAAAGTCCAAGCTGCTCATGTTTTTTTTTCCTTTGGTCAAGCTTCAAAAGGTTTTGTACATATAACACACACAATAAGTCATTTAAAGTGGTCTGTGTACACACACATGTACCGAATCTATGCAGCCTGCAGGCGAACAGTGCTATTTATGTGCTTGAACCAATGTTCTCTCTAATGTTCCATGAGAGAGTGAGAGCAGGTTTGAATTCAGTCACCTATGAGTATTGAGGACAAATTTAATGACTATTTGTTTGTTGCATTAGAACCACTGAGAGGGGAAATATATGCTTGTCATATGCGGAGGAATTAGCAAGAAAACATGTTTTGGGGTACTGGCACCATAGGTGTATATATTGTAATGGCACAGCATATTTGAAACTGTGTGACCTGTGGTATGTGAGTAGGTTATTTATTCCAGTTGGTCCCAGTGCTGGCGGAGAGTTGAAGGGGGCACTGTATTTGGAATCGGACAGCCTCCAGGTTCTGGTTGATGTCAGAGTGACTATACCTTTGCTCCCCAGGTAACTAAGACCAGACCGTTGTTTGTTTACATTTGAACACTGTCTGTGTGGTCATTTGAACTGCTGTTTTGTGACTTCATGGACATTGCACCACTGCCTGTCTTTCCACATTCTGATGATACAAAAGATGCAATGAATCACACCTTTTCTTAAATGATACTGTATATCACACCGAGTGAGAGGAAAAAGCTCACAAAATGACTCTTGTTTTGAAACATGTTCAATCGGAAAAGCCAAATAATTACCAGAAAAATGTTTAAAAAAAAAAAAAAAAGTTGTACAGGTAGTCACGTTCATGGTTTTCATCTTGGTGGGTTTTTTTTCCACAAGCATTTTTTTATACAGCCAGCAACAACCTGGATTTTAAACGAGTGATAAACCGATATGCTTTTTTTTCAGAGCCGATACTGATACGGATTATTAGTAGTCAAGGAGGCCGATAATCGATATTTGAAGTAAATATTCATTTCAAGAAAAAAGGGGGAGAATAGTCAACATTTTGAAAAATAAAAATTATTTAACACATGACGTTCTTTAAATACTTTTTAATTAGACAGCCTTTGTGATTTGCAACATGTAAAAGGTTTTTTTTTTATTGCTTAGAAAATAGAAAAAAAAAGCAAAGTGCAGTGAGCTCCCAGGCATTTCTTATAATGTTAAATGAAAACAAATGAACAACAACAGAAAATTAAGCTTTCCAAAAATTCAATAGAACTGAGATGCCAATCTTTCACTCTTCTTATTTTGAAAGTCCAAAACACAAAAAGTGCATCCACTGTGTAGCTACTGGCGAGAGATATGAACGTCGTATCAACACAGTTGTGTCTTCTCTGCATTGCTTTTTATGGATGTTCTGTCATTCCTGTGTTTCCCCATATGCACCTGCCGTCTCTGCCATACGGGCTGTCTGTGGCAGCAGAAAGAGTGAAATAAATATATTGCTCTAAAGTTTTCTAAAACCGGACTTTCATGCTTTGCTGTCAATTTCCGCACCAGCTTATCAGGTGGCTGACACATGCGCACACATACAGGCACTCACTCTCTAATGACTTTTATCACTATTTCCCGAACTTTATTTATTTCAAGTGGTTAAACTTCTCTCTGGAGCAATGTGCATTGAGGAACACGGGGAGCGGTTCGTTTTAGCCTTAAGGCGAGGCACCTTACTGCGGCAAGCAGAGCTGCCGCTTGTCATTATAATGTCCATCCATCCATTTTCCGATCCGCTTATCCTCACAAGGGTCGCGGGCGGTGCTGGAGCCTATCCCAGCCGTCTTCGGGCAGTAGGCGGGGGATACCCTGAACCGGATGCCAGCCAGTCGCAGGGCACACAGAGACGAACAACCATCCATGCTCACACTCACACCTAGGGACAATTTAGAGTGTTCAGTCAGCCTGCCATGCATGTTTTTTGGAATGAGGGAGGAAAACTGAATACTCGGAGAAAACCCACGCAGGCCTGGGGAGAACATGCAAACTCCACACAGGGAGGACAGAGCTGGAATTGAACCCAATACCTCTGCACTGTGAGGTCAATGCGCTAACTACTGGCCCACCGGACCGCCCTCATTATAATGTATTGATTTAATTTAATTTCTTGTTCATTAATGGGCTCATAGTAATGTTACTAGTTGGGAGTCTTAGAAGACTGGGATTTATTATAATTTCGGTAAACTCTGTAGCCTGACCTTCGTCAGGCTACATGTGGCTCTTACTTCTGATTGGCCTGTACTCATTGCACAAGCAACCAATCAGAAGCAGAGGTGTAAAATCCAGGTCCTGAAAGGAAAAAAATCAGCCCTAGTTTGGCTTTAGCCACAAATGCTTCTACTCAAGAGCTTGTTTATTTGCCGGTTGAGTAGAACCACCCGTGGCTGAAGCCAAACCTTGGCAGGGTTTTTGCTCTCTACACATGGATGGATGTAGGATGTATGATCAGATGGTGCTGTGGGCGGACCAATACTGGACAGGAGTCGCAGCAGACAAAGTCCCAATCCCAATACCACACTACAGGGGTAGGGTACTCCGGTTTCTGTTTTAGCTCTCTCCCAACTACAACACACAGGATTCAGTTGATCATGATGGTTTCAGGCTTCTGCAGAGCTTGCTGATCAAGAAAAAAGGCCGATAAATTGCCAAAATGTCAAATATCCGGCAAGACGATTATCGAATTATCAGTATTTTGGACTGTAAACTTTTTATATCCATTGCACACAGCAAAGTTGGTCGAGTAATTTTTTGAGTCATATTATTTTCCCCTCTAATTGGGTTGTATTTAAAAATTTTGGAGTACAATTGAGTGCACAGGGCACCAGATTGGGAGTAAATCTTCAGAATGAATCAAAATCTCTTTTGCTCAGAGTACATGAGGCACTGTCTTCTACTCTCATCAGTCCAAAATGTGAGTGAGGGACTAAATTAATAATTGTCCAACAGACATTAGACAAACCGAAGCTACAATTGACACATTCTACATCGTGGCACAGTAGACATACAGGTGTGATTTTATTTGTTTGTTTTTGAGCTGGCCAAAGAAACATCTAATTTTTCGATGAAGCCAAACAGCGGCGAAATACATTTATAACAAACAAACAGAAAAAGGATCATGGCAAAAAAGCCATCCACATGTACACCAGAAGCAACAAAGCAAGGTCTATATGAGCCTCATGTATGATTCTTACTGTTTATTTTTGCAATATGACTAAATGAATAAACTTAAAAAATAAATGTTTCCCCATTCTTTAACACAGGTGACATATGGAGGACTAAGGAAAAGTATAATGTTCTGAGAACATCATGATCTAGGAAGTGCTTTGATTCACTCACGTTAGTTATGCGACACAAAGGAGACAAGAGTCATCTTTTTTTTCTAGCTCAGTTATTTCGATTGAAGAATGGATATCCACATATTGCCTGTCACACATTGATTGTGGTGCAATTGTTTCATTGCCTTCATGTTCTTCAGGCAATGTCTACAATATCATTGATCTAATGCAATCCGACCTCATGTGTCTATTATCTCTGTAGCTTGGGTCGGGTCCCTCGCCATGGGGATGATATTCTTCTGTTCACCGGTGGTCAGCATGTTCACGGACCACTTTGGCTGTCGGAAAACTGCTGTCAGTGGGGCGCTCCTGGCTTTCATTGGATTGCTCAGTACATCCTTTGCAAAGTAAGCTGTATTTGCTCCCCATTCATTAATGTAGTGCAGATAACAGGGTCGGTCTCATGAGTATGACGTTTTGGGCCAAAATGTATCCTAATTCATCGTCTACTAGACCAATCAAATAAAAATTCTTCAATGTTGGACCATAATGAACAGAAATCTAATTTAATTTGCATAAGGTCATATGTTTAGCTGGTTGAGCCAATCTCTTCTGAACCAGCCATTTCATGTTCCTTGAGGGGTTGCTTTCTATAACTTTGAAACCCCCTGCTCTAAAACACTCAGAAATGCATCGTGCCTGAGGGATCCATTCCAATCCATGAAATTGAAACATAGTGACTGCTAGCATGGATTGCAGATAAGAAATTATCATTAAAAAATGTTTTCACTGCACGCTGATGCATTCAGGCATTTATAAATTTCATGGTAAATGCCTCTGGCTCATGAGATTAGATTATTGTATACTCCAGCAATGCAAAACAAGCACATTCTGTTTACTCGAAACCTTCTAACAGTGGGCTCGTTCGCATAATCGTGTGTGCCCATACCCCAGTTCGAATGTATTTGAGACATAGTTTAAAATGTAAATTAAGACAGAATACAACGTTTTGCAAAATTTCAACCTATAATCCATTGAATACACTACAAAGAAAATACATGTAATTTTCAAAGTGATAAACGCGATTGTTTTTTTTTTTCTTTCGTTTTGTTTTCACAAATATTCTCTCATTTTGAATTTGATGCCCCATGCTCCAAAAAGCTGGGACAGGGGCAACAAAAGACGGGCAAAGTTGAGGGATGTTTAAAAAAAAAAAATGGGGGGAACATTCCAACATTTCACAGGTGAAGAGGTTAATTGGAAACAAGTGAATGTCATGATTAGGTTTAAAAGGAGTACCATCGAAAGACTCGGTTGTTTACAAGCTGGGATGGGGTGAGGTTTACGTCTTTGTGAACAACTGCCTGCGCAAATAGTCCAACAGTTTAAGAGTAACTTTTCTCAATATACAATTGCAAGGAATTTGGGAGTTCCACATTTGAGAGTCCATATCATAAAATACAGTTCTGAAGAAATCGCTGCACGTAAGCAGCAAGGTCAAAAACCAATGTTGAATGCTTGAATGTTTGTAATTTTGAAATATTTACGTGCTAACGTAAGTATTCAGCTCCAACCAATAGTTTTAGTATCCATGTTGCACAATCATTTAAAATAATCTTTAAAAATATGTTTCCATGAAAAAAAAATGGTAGATGAGTGATTTAATCATTCTGTGATGCCACCCAATTAATTTGCCTTTGTTTGTTTGTTCTATTCTAGCTCCTTGAGCCTCCGCTATTTTACTTATGGCATACTGTTTGGCTGCGGATCCTCCTTCGCTTTCCAACCCTCTTTGGTCATCCTCGGCCACTACTTTCGCCAGCGCCTGGGCTTTGCCAATGGCGTGGTGACGGCAGGTGCCAGCCTCTTCTCCATGGGTCTCCCGGTTTTGCTGAACAAAGTAGTGGAGCCGCTGGGACTCAGCAGAACCTTCCAGATCCTCAGCCTCTTCATGCTTGTGCAAGCCTTGCTGGCATTAACATTCAAGCCGTTGCTACCAGCTGGACTTTGCATGGGACCGACGGGCCCCTCTGAGTCTCAAAAACAGGCAGGGGTGACTCCTCAAAGTGGGAACTGGTGGCATAAGGCGTTGTTATGGGTCAGAAAGTACTTCAACCTGCGAGTCTTTCACATCCTCACTTACCGAGTGTGGGCATTTGGAGTGGCTACAGCAGTATTGGGATACTTTGTGCCTTATGTCCATCTGGTAAGAACATTATGCTCTTGTTCTATTGCATGCTATATTTATTTATACTGTACCTGTCTCAAAATCAGGACAAAAAAAATATTCAGCCTGTTCCTTATTGATTACGTTTTTCCATACCATGGAGATTAAACATATTTCCATGTTGAACTTAAATACCATCTGCTAAGCAACACATGCCATATCGTTCTTTATCAGTCTGCAATGTGACGGGGTTGTAATTGTCATTTTCTTTTGGCCTTGGGACCAGAATGTGTGCTGGTAAGGATCAGATATGTTCCCGTCTGTCGGGTTATGCTGCACAAAGTTTGCAAGAAGTGCTGTTATCACTTTTCATCAGCTGTTACGGTCACAATGAAAGCGTAGTATTTCAATATCCACTTGCAGTGCACTGATTTCAATTTCTCTTTTGATCTACAAAATGGAAGTACATATTGAGGATGCAACATAAAGCCGCCGTGCAAAGCTGTGAAGTTGACACTGCCGTATCCAGATATAGGATGTTCATGCTCCGGCCTCCCTCTGCCAGAACTGTTGTTTCAGGTCCAGGCCCAAGTGTAAACACAGCCCCGGCCTTTGTAATGACTTGACCACTTCAGGAAGACTCTCCTGTGTGGCCCCTCTGTGTCCTGAACCATGCCTGTTCAATGGCCATTCATGCATACCAAAACCGTTCAAAGTAGAGCAAATAGTTCAGCATGTTCAGGAAAGACATCAGAGGGTGGTTGTGCGTTAGGGCTTCGGGAGAGTGGCTTGCTTCTTACCCATAAAAACATATATATTCACATATATTCCTGCTATACTGTTCCAACAGTTAATGTTTGAGATTTATGGTGGGACAATTGACCAAGTGCACAATCCACTTGTTTAAGTATGGACCAAAACATGTGAGGATGTTTCCCCAGAAGGTTGTATGTATGACATTGTGACGGTCGTCCGGCGCACCAACATGACTCCATCTGTCTTTGTTTTTGTGTGACAGATGCACTTTGTCGAGGAGCAGTTCAAGGGCACCGAGAAGGAATGGGTGCTCCTTGTGTGCATTGGAGCGTCATCAGGGGTGGGGCGTCTCACTTTTGGCAAAGTTGGAGACCTTATCCCAGGTCTGAAGAAAATCTACATGCAGGTCGGGAAATGAATGATAGTGGAGAGTTTGAATGTCTCAGACTTGAACATTTTGTTGAAACTTAAACCATCACAGCTTAATCCGTGATTGTACTGTATCTCATTTGGTGGGATGTTTATTGACTTTTTCTTACGATCAAGCTGAAGGTGGCGGGAGTGCTCAAGGAGAAGAACACACGGTGTCTTTTTGGGGTGTTTGCACATTACGCTTAAATGCACACCTATCTTTAGCATTCGGATCACATTGTGGTCATTAGTGGCCATGCATTTTCACTTTTGTCTCCATTTTTATAGTCTCTTTTTCTGAACTTAATACATTGCCAATGTAATACGTAATCACCCTCTATATTGTGAGGATCATGAGAACACAGTGTGCTGCATTTCTAAAACTGCACATTTCATCGGTAACTTCAAATTAACTATTAACTTTATTTGTAACTGCTTATTGAACTGAGCCCTTGGCATCGACAAGGTACACTGAAGCAAAGTTCATTCAGTGTAAGTTTAAATAGTTTGGCTGCAAATCATTCCTAATTTGCATTCACACAAGAGTCCAAGAATGAAAAACTGCTGGATATTGTTAGGGCTGAGTCACGACTAAGAGAGTAGAAAAGAAAGAGCCCAGCCGAATCGAGTGGGTTTGAGGTGAACTGCACTGTGTCTCCTGTATACTTGGAGTTTCAAATTACAACACTTTGTTCCTGTCCTCAAATGTGCCTTACTTATTGTTACCAAGAGATGTTTTCAATTTCTGCTGAAGGTGTTCTTATGTGTTCACCTTAAATTAGTGACCAAGACATTTAAGTGAACACATTACATCCTCGCTAGTCTGTAGCCCTGTGCAGAAAGACCGCTCTTAATTTAACACACAAAATGAGACATTTTTGAAGGCACAATGTGCAAACACACACAAGGCTTTCTTGATGCTTGAGTCTTTCAGATGCCGCATCCCTTTGCCAACTGAAATTCTGACTTGCTCGTGTGTCATGCCAGCAGACAAACAAGCATATTAATGCTTGTAATGCAACCATGCAGCTGTGCAATAATGGAACCTTAAAGGTCAAAACCCATATGTTGCATAGGATGCTGGTAGACCTTGGAAAAATCCCTCTATGAAGTGATGGAAGTATACACTTCAGTGTCAAAGTGTGGCCGTCAAAAACCTCCAACTGTACAAGCATTGTTTTAAGCCTTAGCTGCCTTGCAATTGTAATATGAGAGTAAACCTTGTAAAATACAACTACAGTGGTGCCTTGAGATACGAGTGACATGATTTATTGTTTTTTTTCGAGATGCAATCTGTCATTCGGCAGATTTTCTGCTTTGACTTGCGAGCGCAAACTTGAAATATGAGTGCTGTATGGTGGCGGTGAACTCACTTCCCAATAAGCAGCAGTTTGGCAAAGACGGAACAATTCATCAAAAGAGGCTTTAAGCTGTTCAGTGCTGCTCCCAGTTGAAGTTTACGGTCAAATGAAACATAAGACAAAATTCATTTCACATTGTGTATTTAATGACAAAAACATCCTAGCTTCAGAATAATCTGCCAAGCTTAATGCTAACAAACAAGGAAAAGTGCCATTTGGCGTGTTCATGGTTAACACTGATAGGCATGGTTTAAGGCGCAACAGACATTTGAACACAAACGGTGGAGTAACAAACCTAGAGAGATAACAGAATTACTCACACGCATATATTTTTCATCCTCTATGAAACATGATTGATCTTACAAAATTTACTGAATCATTTATAGCAGCAATAGAAGTACAGTACTACTGTCTTGATTTGTTTTCATGACTGGATTATATTGCCCTCCGGTGGCCAAAGGCAGTTGCACCAGAAGGAGCAACACAATGAATTCGATTGCTGCGTTAAATCATGGTGCTGAAACGGTTTAATTATTTAGATTCTATTTGATTGTTTTGACTCTATTTGTAGAATGCTATTGTATTTTTTTCCTTAACACATCATTTTAACTTTAATGTATTTATTTTTTTGGGAGGGGGAAGCTGGACTGGATTAATAGCATTTCCCTTCATTTCACTGGGGAAAGATAATACTGTATGAGATATGCCTGTTTTGAGTTATGGGCATGGCACCACTGTACTGTATATACATCTAACATAAACACAGCCCAAGCCAAGCCGCAAGATGTCAAATTTTCTATCACCCTATCCTGAATACTGTACTAAACGAATAAACGAAACAGGTAAACACTCAGAATCGAAATAAAAATACCAACCATTTTTGTCTTGCAGTGTGGAAAAGTATTTAAAATTCAAACCGATAGACGGAAATATCGCACATGCTCAGAAAGCGGATCTCAAGTTTGCACCAATCCACCAATTTACATGAAGACATATAGACCTGCACAAACAATGGCACGCAATGTGGTCATAAACTAATCTAAGGACAATGTAACATGTTTCTTCTTTCTTTTATAGGTGGCATCATTCATAGCCCTGGGACTCATGTCCATTATGATCCCTCAGTGTTCTCTCTTTGAGGAACTTATAGTCGTATGTGCATTCCTGGGACTGTGTGACGGATGCTTCCTCACCATGATGGCTCCCATTGCATTTGAGCTGGTTGGGCCCATGCAGGCATCACAGGCCATAGGATACCTGCTTGGTCTCATGTCTCTTCCAATGACTGCAGGTCCACCCATTGCAGGTGAATGACTAGATTTTTTTTCAACTTGTTTTATCAGCACTGTCATGCTGAAGTTTGTTATGCACAGACAGCTGCCAGTTGATCAATATTAGCAAAGTAAAAGACTTGACAAAGACTTGTGTGTGTGTGTGTGGGGGGGGGGGCACAGGGGAGTGGTAGAAGTACAGTTGTACAGTGATCAAGAGTGGGAAGGTATGGGATGGCAGCCAACTATGTAGTGTCTTGAGGGTTTGTCATTAGGCTAAAGAAGCACATTAGGCTCACTGTGCTCAGCAAATTTCTCAGATCCCCAACTTCCTCCAAGCAAATCTCCTTTCCTGTTAGTGTCATTACAGCCGTCTAATAAGAGCAACAAGTACAAAATATTTGTTAATTGGCTCAGGCATGCTCTTTCTGAGGACTTTTTTTTTAAACCCCACCCCACCCCAAAATATTTTGCGTTCCAAGTACCACCACGATGACGACCATTAAAATGCAGCAGCATTGCAGGTATGAGTTTTCTTAAAAAATTAATCCATTTTTCCCCCCAAAATATTTAATGTTATTGTAAGGAAAGACACTGCCCTATTACGCAGTTTGAAAGATAACATTACTCCCAGTGGGTTTCACACCTTTAAGAAGACTTTAAAACAATGTCACTTCAAAATGAATTATTTTATATTTTTATTTATAACATTTAAACAAGCTGTATATGCATGGCTGCAAGTAAAACATATTACCGCATCCAAAACTTCGATGCCTGCTTTCTGAAAACAAAACACAGGTGAAGAGAAAACCTTTTTCACGAAGACATCCTGAAGTCCGATTAATATTGTACACTTCATTCAACCATCGGTCGCACATGACTAAAATGTTCAACTGACATACTATTTGATTATGTTTCAGGAAAAGGGGAAAAGGGGGGACGTTTTTTTCAGTTAGCCAAAATCACTTGTAAATAATATGTAAATACAAAATAGGTACTTTTTTCCCAGTGTGTAGGGTTTTAATTGCTTTAGCTCATCCTGTTTCTATAAAAGAAAATCTGCCGGATTGTGCCTAAGTGCTGCTTGTTTTGTTTGTGGTGCCACGGTGGCTGTAATGAAAGAATACAGTAAAACATAAATAGACACGATGAAACTAAACACCTCGACAAGTACAAGGACATGTATGTAAAGCAGAAGCTCCAGGTAATTAGAGGATATGAAAATGACTAGTTTTTACAGCAGACTATGTTCAAACAAGAAAAATCTACAGCTGTAAAGGCGAGTCATTCAGGATTCGGCACATGTCAGTGAGGTTATCATAACATGAGTCGTGAAGTTCATAAGAGCCAAACGCTTCAAATGCTGCCAGTTCAAGTCTTTTCTGGTGAGGTTTGCTCTGAATTCATAGACATGTGCTATCACCCTGAGGCGAGAGATGGCGATGCTGAAGAAATGTCATGAACAGATGTATTTAGCTGTGTGATGACGTCTGACAGGGAAAATGTGCACAATTGCATTTTTTCTTGAAGTATTGAACTTAGCCTGTGACTTGTGTTCCAGGTTTTCATTTTGGCCCACTGTGAATTTGGATTCGACACCCCGAATCAATGTTTTAGGTCATTCTAAAGGTGTTTTTAAAGCATTTAGGGACAAGCTGATTTGCACTCAAGTCACGCTGGAACAAAAAATAAAATGTATTTGGAAAACTTAAGAATTCAATTGTCTCAATACAGTACCGGTATTTATAAGACATTGCTGTGTCCAAATGATGCTGTACACACGTAGACTGATTTGAGCAACAAGTCGGATGGACTTGGCAGCAAAAGTCTTCCGCTCCGACTTTACAAACTGGTTCAAATCACATGCTGCGGTGTTGAACTCGTTGACCTCCCTCCGCTGCAGTATGTGCCATGAATTCATGTGACAGTGACATGTAAACAGAGGAGGTGTCGAACAGCTGAAGCGCAGCTGTAAAACTTGCTCGACTGGCAATAGGAAGTTAGAATGGGCCTACATGTTATTGGCCATTCCTTTTAACTTGAACTATGATGTAGTATCAGTCGAAATAGAGAGATGCAACAACAGTCTGTTTGGATTCACACTTTCAATTTAAAGATCTAAGTTGTATCACAATATGTTTTAAACATTTGTCGAGGTGTACAATTTTTTTTTCCCAATTTAAAAGTAATTAATGCCTGTATTTGTAAACTTGGATTGTTTTAATCTATTGAAAGATGTAATGGGCTGTGCATTTGTTTGCTGGGGTCGTTCTTATCAATGCTGCCTATGCACAAAAAGGGGTCTGAGAGATGCGTACGGAAGTGCCTGTGCAAAGTATGTAACCTAAAAAAACTTGAAATTGTAAGAAAGCGCAGCCAGATCAATCCTGCGTGTGCGTGTGGAGGAGGAGGTGGCTGGCCAGCTTTTATCGAGCAACTCTCCTGCATTTACCACTTGCAACTCTATACGAATTAACAAAGGACACAAAACCACTTTTCTTTTATCATCGCTTTTGCACTTGTTGTGTTTGGTTGTCAATAATAGAACAGTGCTTCGATTTCTGGATTCTCAAGCGTCAATGTCTCTAATAATGACAAGACGCCATACACAAAGAAAAAAAACGTCCCTAAATGCATCTACTGGGGTAAAAATTATTTACTTAATTCGGACATGTAAATGAGGTTGACATGATTAATTCATTTTCTACTGTTCTCATTGAAAATATTTCAACATGTTAGTTAAACACAATTTTAGTCATGTGCAACTGATCTACATTTCCGAATGAAGTAAATCCAATGGATTTCTTTTTTTCAGTGTAGCCTACAAATACAGTATCGCCGATTGTGCTGCTGTGCAGCATGTTCACCCTCAGCGCGGTTACAAACCCAACTGGGTCGGCCACTTTTTTTTCCCCTCCTTAAATAGATTTTACTGTAATGGATTCATTACGTTTTAACCATGTACAACCACTGTTGACGCATTTTGTAAATTGAACAGCCTAATTTTCTCAGTGGAGCAACATTTGCGTTCCCAAGTTGTGTCCTTCTGTATGAGTGCACAGCTGTGCCTGCCATTGCACCGCTGCAGTTGAATGTATTTATTTATATATTTGTGTGTGAGGCTTTCTTTTCTCCTTCTGTCCTGCCTGTCGTGTTTTTTTTTTTTTGTGCGATGCCAATTTAGGCCACCAAATATTCCCTTGCTTGTTTCCACCACGGTGCTCAGCACTCACCTTTGACAAAGTGCTGGCAAGCATGGCTCTTTCATTTTCATGTCCTGCCTATTGCATTGACCAAATATGGATCAATTTGGCCATGTAGCGGGCGGTACGTGTGGTTTCCAAGTTCACTGACTTATCATGGGAAAATGTGGTACAGGTGGATGTATGTACGCACGGTGTGATAGGAATGATTTTTTTTTTTTTGGACGTAACTTTTGGATTTTGTGTGTACGTACACTTTTAGTTTGAATTCTACGCACTCTTTGATAAGTGAGACCCCTGGTCCTGATCATCGGGCAAATTAAATTAGAAGATGAAGCACATAGAAGATGAAATCTGATTGGGAAAACAAAAATCAAACAACCACAAGGAAAACATTAAGAAGTTCATTAACCGGGAATTCCCTAATTGAACACATCCAATCATTTCTCTCTCCACTTCACAGGTCTGCTACACGACTACTTGGAAGACTACAAAGTAGCCTTCTCTGTAGCTGGTGTGCCCCCCATAATCGGTGGAGTGATGCTGTTCTTTGTTCCTCTGATACACCGCCGACTGGAGCGTGGCAGCACGCCGGCAGCGCCAGAAGAGACGACCACTCGCATGTTACCCAGTGCCCAACCGACACCAAAGAGCTGCTCCAATGGAGACGTGCTGCCCGGCTACACTGATGCTGAGACGCATATCTGACTTATATCGGTACCTTACAATACTTTTATACATGGCATGTACAAAAATGTTCCCATTTGTTCTCTCTAAGGACAATTTCTCATCCTTAGATTTCCCTTCTCCTGATTGCACTGGTGGGACTGTCCTGTTGCCTGACCATTAATTTCACGCTCCTCCTTGAACCTTGCTTGGTGGTTTCTCAAGAGAAACAGAATTTTAAACCGGATTAGGGATGATAAGAAGGCTCACCGCTATACAAGTTAAGGAGATGAAGCAAAACACAGTCTGAGAAGGCAGCAAAATATCCTCCAAGAGGAATGAAATGAGATTTTTTTTTTTATAATTGGGATTTATCTCAAAACCCAAGTTAATATTTTGCTTTCATTTCAAAGTCCAAATAGAATGTCTTTTAATGATCCAAATGTGGAGTGGAACGGATCATATATGCAGTTTGCCACCCGAGGACTGATCTCTAAATAACTTTTTTTATTTTTTTTTTTTACAGTTTTTTTTTTGCTTTACTTCATTTCATTCAGAAACCACACCTTGTTTTTCATGAAAAACACTTATTGGCAGCATATCCCTCTTTATTTAATCATTTGGGGGGTTTTGGTTCATGCAGTTATAATGGCCGTGGCCGTCAATTTTACGAAGATTTTCGCTGTTTGTGGTGGGGCTTGGTCCTTAGAGCCTACAAACAGCGGGGGCCCGCTGCTTTTTCACTTTATAAAAAATAAATAAATAAAATAAATCCTTTCACGGTGTACTTACTTATCAGTAGGTGTGATTGATCCCATTACCTTTAAAATGGACGAAAAGTACTTTCAATGGTATATTGGCTTCTACTCGTGACAGCATATACTGTATTATGTTGCTAATATCACTCGAGGGAAAAACCACAATGAGCCTCACCTCAACTGATACCCTTTTCCCACTGAAACTAGTGGATAGCAGTGATCCGTGGCGACACGCAACCAATTGGCATATTGTCCCTTTCCCATTGACCAACAGAAGGCAATTCTGTGCCCCCCCGCCCCCTTCCACCACTTTGCGTCTGGTTAAGTCACCACGCTGTGATTGTGTCGATGATAGTGCGACAGATTTCTTGGTGGTAAACAAAGCAACATGGAAGCGAGTGTTCTTTCTTTTGTCATGCTTTTTACCGTCCTCAAAATGGTCGAAAAGCAGCGGAGCATCAACTCTTTGCTACTACTGAGACAACGTAGACGATGTGAATTTTTGGCCGAAATTGCGGGGGGCGTACTATATACGAGGCCGATGGCGCACGATATTATGACGCATCACGTACCGCCCTATGTCATCACGTAATTACCGGGCAGATCCCGTGATAGGCTTTCAAACTGCAAGCGATACGGAGCGGAGACGATCGGAGGCGATCACAACCCACCTCCCATGGCGTGCTGGTGGACACGGATCGACACGGATCAACACTGGCCAGTGAGCCTTTCCCACTACCCAAAAATGCGTGTTTATCCGTTGTTTTGCGGCAGTGGGAAAGGGGTATGAAAAACATACTTGCCGCATTAACTACTTTACCAGCCAGCTTCATAGGAGACAGAAGCGCAACTGAGGAAGTGTTTCCTACGCACGCACAAGGAAAATGTTATTCATATTGCGTTTAATGATGGGTGCCTGATAGATAACACGAAGCCAAATCACTGAAATTCCATGCCGTGCTTCAAATTTGGATTTAGTTTCCAAATGCTTCAGATCGTAGACTTTATGTTTTCAGATTTGGGGGCGGAGATTTCTAAATAACGAGACAATCCGTGGCTTTCATCAATGAATACTCGTTTTTTCCCCTGTGGTTTGTCACTATATTGTATCAAGGTAGGGTCATCTTAAGGATACCATTTTTTTCCACATTTCAACTTAAAAGCCTCTTGGAACATTTCCCTTGCAGGGGGAATTTCTTCTTTCTTCCCTTTTACAATGCTCTTCAACGGTGAATTTGAACTGGGTCATCTGATGAGAAGGAAATCTTTAATCTTCCTTCTTTTGTCTTATTTGCTAATCCTTTCATTCCTTCTTATATCCACCTTCTTCTTAAGCCCCTTGAACCTTCATGTGAATTGTGGGCATGGCTTCCAGTCTGACTTGGAACCGTCGTTTGTTTACATGGTAACTGGTTGCGGGAGTACACTTTCGATCACAGTTAGAAACTTAAACAAATAAGGAATGACAGTTGTCGCAGCTGAGTCTTGCTTCCTACTACTGTAGCAGGGTAGAAGGAGTCGCATGTTTAGCTACTTTCTGCACTCTGTCGCTTCAGGTGACGAGTTAATGAGCAATCTCAAAAGCTCTGAGTTGTATCATGACAGATAAAGCTGGCCGTGTTTTGTCAAGAGGTTGGACACAGACTGTGTGGGCGTAGACTGTGTCACATAGTCCTACTTCCCTTCAAGCAGATGTCGGACCCCTTAATCTTATATCAGTACTACAACTTCCCACTACACGCTAACCACATCACCTATCGTATGTGTTCCAAAAAATCCGGTACATAATAACAACAAAAACATTACATGCAGATTAATATTAAAATACTGAATCGCTCAACAATTTGCTTGTGCTGAAATGATTGAAATTTGAGGTGAATACAGAACAGCAACAGGAGAAGCTTCCCTGGTGGTTGTTGTAATGCGAGCATAAAGTTTGATGCGCGTGCTGCTCTGTGTGCTTTCGGTCCACAAAACACACAAAGAATGTTTCGGCGAGACCCCCCACCACAAAAAAGAGATTTTTTATTTTTTTTGCCTAATCCTTCTTTATTCCTCATCTCTCCTTGTAGCCAGTGAAAACTGAACCGGTTCTCACATCATTCTCTCCTCATCTGGGGAGCAAGTTCAAAACATTGCTCTTTGTCGCCACAGATTAAATGTGACAGGGCCTTATGATCGATGCAACGAAAGCCGCTGTAGCAAATGACTAATTGCTACTTCTGGTGTCTTACAGGAACTCACACCCATAATGGTTTCTACACTAGAGCCCTGAGAAATAAGGTGGATTACCTTTTCTGAGACATTTTTTCTTTATCTATAGATTATTATCATAACAACGCTCATTTCTGATGATACCTAACCGGTAAAGGAGACACAAGTGCTGAACCTCAAATGAGTGTGTAGATTACACAATAGATAGATGGACTAAGCTCACGTTACAATCATTTTCTAACGAAATAAACCATGTGATGAAACAATCAAACTAGTTCTAGCTAGCCACAAAGCTAACTCGTCCTTAAATAGAACGACCAAAATGTACGGTTTTCACCGTCAATCAATTTTAATTCATGATGAATAATTTGCTTAATATTATGACTCAAACATTCACAAATTACATATTTTTGTAAACAGCTGAAGTGAGATTCACAGTACATTCACCGGTATGTGCTCTAACAGGTGGACTAAATCATCTGGCGAACCAAAATATGCATTTAAGCATAAAAAACATAGGCAGCCAGATTGACTGAGTAGTGTTATATTATTTTCACATCCCATTTGACAAAACATTCATAGGTTAGATTAAAATGTACAGGCTGCATGAGATTTTCATGCACCAGGCATACACTGTAAGCTCGTTCTAGCTTGCCGTACAAGCTAGCTCGTCCTCTAAATAAAGCAAACAGGTTCTGCTGCATATCCCCGTAATTAGTCAGTGGCAAATGATTTATTTTTTATTTTATTTTATTTTTGCTGTCATTATTAGCTTATTAACAGATAAGATTTTTGTAGAAGACTACTGTTAGTCTACTGAAATGAATAGAACAGTAAGCAGGAAGGTCTATGCCGACGAATATCAGTTTTCATTTAATTTTTAGTTTCGCTGCTGTGAATAGTGTCCTGTTGGAAGCTGTGACATCAGTTTTTTTTTTTCTTTTTTGGGATAGTGGAGCAAGTAATACAAGTACACTTGACTCACAGCAGTAACCTCAATTCAAAACAAATCTACCTTTTCAAACCGGTCAGCTCAGGTTCACTTCATACCAATTCCAACTTCAATACCTGCTTACTTAATTCGTCAAAACATAGCCTTCTCTTTGTCAATCGAGATTAAAAATACGTATTATCATCTTTACTTGACTAGTTGTGTGTGTGTGTGTGTGTGTGTTTTTTTTTAAACTTTACTGATAATAGATGGATGAATTTTCACGTTGTGAAAACTGAAACGTGAGCTACAGTACATGTACAGTGGAACCACCAAATTGGAACACGCTAAAAGTGGAACCATGTGGATTTCAACCCAAATTATTCCTCAAGTCAGGCAAAACCTGGTTGAAATCCTTAAAATGTGTGACATCCCACGCAACCTCAGCCAATGCTTGCGTGATGTCAATGATGGAAAGTGTGATGATCACCATAGAACGGGACAGGTCTGGCTCCTCTTTACAATATGAGCAATACAGTTTTTACAAGGCTTTATCTTTCCCAGCATATAAAGCATTTAAACAACATCGGGTGTCGGTATCACTGTAGGAAGATTTTGCTCTTCCCTCTAATATTATGCTTCTGTTTCGGTTCTTTTAAAGTGTAAGCAGTATTACTCAATACAGTGGTGCCTTGAGATAAGAGTTTAATTCATTCCATATAAACGCTCGTAATTCAAAATGCTCGCCTGTCATGTCAGCTTTTTCCCCATTGATATGTATGGTAATGCCATTCATCCTTATAGCCTATGTCAAAAAAATCCGACAAATACTGTTGTCATGCGCTTTTTTAAAAAAGAAAAATAGTACTCCATAATATTATGCTTAAAATAAACATTCAGTGGAGTGCCGGGTTACACCACTCATATCTCAAATTTTTGTTCGCTTGCATTCAAAACTCAAAAAACCTCGTAAGTCGGGTCACCCGTATCTCAAGGCGTTGCTGTATTAGTTATGCAGTATTTAGGGCCGAGCAGTGCGAGCTGCGGAGCTCCTATTGTATTTGTACAGATAATTTATTTGTTATTTTTTTCAAAGTTTAACTTTTTCCACTTGTATGATGGATAGGATTGTTACTTTAATGACTGCTTGTACAGTTAAGCAAGGTTCTTTGATGGTTTTGGCCTGCCTATTGAACAGCTACACGGAACATATTGTGGCGACTCTTTGGAGGTTCCACTGTACCAAACAATATTGTCATATTAGATGAATGAAAGGAGAAACAAAAGCAAACACACAGAATGAAACCAAGAATAATAACCGCTTTTGGTTTCTGGCTCGCGATCTACTGAGCTGGTGATTTATTGTCTCGAGCTTGTGGTCCATTTCTGTGACTCCTTCACTTCCTAACACCACGTCAAGCTAAATGATTAACTTTAGCCAACGCGTGTCATATTTTACTCTGAACACTACTGTTAATTTAATTTGACATTTTTGTAGTTCATTTCGGAAAGTCATGCGCTTAATTAAAATGTTGTCCTTATCCGTTGGTGCTTGCGACGCTCAGATCAGGTGCATTCATCCAAGCTGGCTGTGCAAAGGACAAAGTTATTGTTAAACTTGTCCTGTACATGAATAAATGAAGCCGAACTAAGATTTCGGGCTTTTGTATATAATCACTTGTGCAGTCAATATGTTGAGTTACATTTCATTGAACAGTTGCTGACATTCACACCTCTCACAGAACAAATCAGTCACTCTCACCTCATTTGACTCTTTTGGAACTAACATAGGAAATAATGATTGGAAAAAATAGAACTAGTTAGTGTAGAAAAATGTGTTATTCTCCTCTGAAAATGTGCCATTTTTTTTCTAATCTACTGACCTCAATCTTTTGCCTACTCTTGTACTGTTTGTTTGCGAACTAGACCACCAATATGTCAAGCAGGCGCTTAAAGTCTACATGTTATTCACATGAAGCTGAGCCATGACTTTGCAAAAATCTCTCCAACAGCACCTCATTCACACTGCCATGGTGTGATTCCAGCAAGAATATTTTGCCAGAACCACAATCACCAAAATGAAAGAAAAAAAAAACATTTTTGGTGAATGTTTATTTTTTCTCCCTATATCCAAGCAACGTGCCGTATAGCTCTTTGCTCCGTGTTCGACAAACCTTGTGGGCTCATTGATGCTTATTTGTCATTGTAATGGCTGTAACTGTTATAATTTCAAGCCTTTTACTGTATTCGTGATCTTTTCTCTGTGCCCTCTGTCTTTACTTATTGTTGACACACGCGTGGCTCTGTGATAACCTCCAGAGAGGTTGCTGTAGTAAACCATGATTGCCTCTCTTTACAACTGTTTGCATATATATCCTTGCTTTGCAGGCACCTTTTTATATGACGATCTAAACAGAAACAAATAAATAAAGCCAATTGGCTAAATGTTACTAAAACTGAGATTCATCAAGCTGCTAGAAAATCTATTATGGTCAACATAATCTGTGTTACAAGGCATTTTTTTTCTATTGAAACAACATTAAAGACCTAATCTGAACACAATGTTTGCTGTCGTTATTTTTTTGTCCTGAGTTGTTTCTCTTCGTGAGAAACTGTAGTGCAGGGGTGCCCAACCTTTTTTTGACCATAGATCTACTTTTTGATCAACCAACCTCCCGCGATCGACCCATTACCGTACATTACGCGCATATGAACGCACTTCCACACACATGCCCTGATGAGCAATAGCTATAATGGCCAATAAGAAAAATAAAGTAGACAGAAAAGTATGTGAGTTTGTGAAAAGCAAATCACTGCCTACCTTTGTAGAGACCTGACACGGAGGCATGGGCCATACTTTTGCAGCGTGTTAACGATCGTAGCTCACGTGTACCGTTTTAAAATACTTCTCCCGGCACTCCGGATTCCCATTCTTTGCCAGTGCCCTCTGTGAATTGTACATGAAACAAAATCTAGTTGAGAATAATGATATCAATAAAAGATATAGCGCAACATCTCTGATCGCAAGCTGCAGTTCCAGACTGCTGACCGCTAGCGACTTCCGGTGATGCAGGTCACATGCATGTTAAAGGTGACCTGTTTTTTTTTTTTTTTAATACTTTTTTTGTGTAAGTGAGACTGATAGGATGCACAAAACATATCAATATATCATATCATATATCAACACAAAAATATATCGAATTCATAAGACACACAGAGACAAACAAATATTTTGGTTGTTTTTTTTTTTTTTTTCTCTCTCCACCCCTCGCGATGGATTTGGGACTAGTCCGCAAGCTACCGGTCGATCGTGATCGACGTATTGGGCACGATGCTCTACTATATATCTCGAGGTCCTTCAGACATGTATTAAATCGGGTAGATTAACTCAAGACTTTGAGTACACAAAGACATATCGTGTCAGTTGGAAAGCAAAATACAATCCCTTACTGTGTAGGGTCCAAAGCCCTCAACCAAGTGACGTACAGTACTTGGTTGAGTACGGTTGAGTTAAATGAAGCCTCTGGTCCTCAATAACTCTCCCTTGTTATGGTGAATTATGCTTCAATAGATCACACTGTACAAGGCATAAAGTCACAATTTTTAATCACAAGGCCAGAGGCCAGGTTGAAATACTTGCACAAAATGATTTATAGTACATGCCCACAATGTCTTTTTGTGTTTGATAGCATTCTCTGGTAAATTCGCACTTGCTGTTTTCAAAGTCACAGGCTGCGTCCTCAGAAGGCTGCATTTTTCGGCAGTGCCACGCCACTTTTAGCGTAACTCGACCGCATGTGGGTTTTCGAATTCTAGATAGACAATTCGCAGACTGGGTCCTTTGACACCTTCAAAGGCTCCTCCTCATGTAGTCTCCGTGGACCGCATAAACCGTGGTGAATCTGAACAGGCTTAATGTGAATTTTGGAACCACGTGTAGTCGTTGTAATGCGGCCGAAAATGCAGCCTTGGGAGGACGCGGCCTGTGAAGTTGGACACAGTCATGGGCACAAAAAAAAAAACCCACAAAAAAAAGATCCTGTTTGCTCTGTAAGAAAGCATCAACCAATTTTAATCTTTAAAATTAAACTGCTGGTATTTTACACATCTGGCAAATGAGGCTGGGGTATGTTACATTTTACTTTGCATCAGGTTCACAAACTGTCCAGTTTTTCAAAGGCTGCATGTAACACAGCACTTGTCCACTAGAAGGCCTTCTCCACCCATATATCATGGACAGCTACAGTCCAAGTCAGGACTCAAGCTGGTGACTGTAGCTCTGGGAATATTTGAAAATGCATTCGTTCATTGTAAAATGAAAATCTTTTTAACACCAATCCTCAAAAAGTTCATTCAACTTTTTCGGGTACGCACCCAATGTATGACTGGATGAGCAACTAAGGAGTGAATTCGGTTCATATAGCCTGCAACACAGAAAACATGACTTCAATTTTCTGTCTTCAATATTATAACCATATGCAATACATTTCTATGAGCAGGATCAAAGTAAAATATGTAATTATTACTTAATATACCATACTAAAACAATAGAAAAAAAAATGCCAGAGTTGGTGAACTTTTCGCGACCAGAGAGCATACAACAGGAAATATTGTAAGGAAGCCACAAGGTTGTGAGAGCGGAAGGTGAAAAAAATCACTCTGTTGCACTGTCAAGGTCAGTCATGTGTGAGAGATCGGAACACACAGATGTCCACATTTTGGGAAATACTTACCCCCAGTTCCATGAGTTCAAGAACTTCTATGATGTTGCAAAGTTGGGTTTTTTTTTACATACACATCTTAACTTATACCGCAAACTCACTCGATGCCAGTTGTGGCTGGACACGTAGTTGGGTACTCGAGCAAAATCGAATGCAACTCAGGCCAAGACTTGGATTAAAATTCTTCAAATTCTATGTTATTATATTTGTTGTGCACATCCTTGTAAATCCTCAAATTAATAGGCCAACTCACTCACCTGTAATATATACCTGTTGTGCCATACAGGCCAGTTGACACTGCCTTGTTCAAGAGGCCAAACAAAACACGTGAGAGAGATCAGGGTTTGTTGTCCATCCATGATCCGAACGACTTATTCTCATGAGGACTTGCATGCTGGAGCCTATCCCAGCTGACTTCGGGCAGCAGGCGGGGGACACCCTGAACTGGTTGCCAATCGCAGAGGGCTTGTTGTCCCACAGGTAAGTTGTCACATTGCAATCATCTTCTCCACCAACTGAAAAGGGAAATGCTAGTTTTCTTCCTCGCGTGATCAGCAATCGAGTCCTGCCCGAGAAGACAATCGCACATTGTGAGCTGAGATGAGAGCCAATTAAGCATTTTGCATGACCCAAAGTCAAAAAAGGTTAACATTTAATATATTTTGAAAGAAGCGTCTAAGATAAAAATGTTACATGCGGACTTGTTAGAGGACGGATTCAGGCATTTTTTTCATACCTCATTCACGATTCTCTGTTAGACAGGCTTTAATCTAGAGCTAGTATGAGCAAACTTGGGAGTTTGGGGAAACATGTCTTAGACTTTTTAGGGTTAGTCGTCACATGACATGCAAAGAATGGGCTAATGAAAAATGCACTCTTGGCAAATCGCTTTACATATGCCAGAATTGTTATTCGGATGGTGAATCTGAACATTGATATTTTTTTTGTCAGCTTTTGTTTGAGTGTTTATGAATCGATCTTCCAGTTGTTGTTGCAAGTTTGTCCACATTTCAGGACTGGTTTAAGTATCATGATGAACCAATGCTGTCTGTTTTGTAATGAAATTTAATCTTTGAATTTTTCGCTTAAAAAAGGTGAAACAAACATCGGAGCCTGAGAGCTATGGCCTACGTGCCATCAGTTACTAAGAATGTGACTCAATATTTTCGGTTAAAATTTACTGGTGGTTCAATGGCCATGTTCAATGAAATTTTCAAAATTTTGTGAGGATGCCACCTGGACGCCTTCCTGGTGGGATGTTCCAGACATGTCCCACTAGGGAGAGGGCCCCAAGGATGACCCAAGACACTCTGGAAAGACTGTCTCCCGGCTGGCTTGGGAACGCCACGGGATCCCCCAGGGAGGAGCCGGACGAAGTGGATAGGGAGAAGGAAGTCTGGAATTACCCGCTTAAATTGCAGCTCCCGCGACCCGACCTTGGATTAGCGGAAGAAAACGGATGGAACGGATTTTCTGAATATTAGACCAATGTACAGATGTGTTTACAATGCTATTAACTTTTTTGAACAACACAGGTCTCAACTATTCATGCGTTTTTAACAAATGGTCAAGTGTTCCTGGAAAGAAAAAAAAATGCTATACTTTTGAGATCAGCCCCGCTTTGGTTACCAGGATGCATTGTGGTTTGCATTGCTGAACCTTCTCCGTAAAAATGTTAATCATTTGCATTTAAGTGTTACCCATAGTTCGTTGACTATGTGTCTTAATTCACTGTCGGGTTAATTTTATCTTGTCCATTACCATGAAAGTGTGACTGTGTCATGTTTGTGAAACAATAACATCCCGGTTAGTTCTCTTGAATTCTTTGCTAGATAATCATGACCTTGCATTTCACGCGAATGTTCGTGTGCACTTCCTGGTAAGTACGAGATAAACCCTCCTTGACTTGAGTGACTTCAAAACGTCACAACAGTGAATGAGTTGGAATGAGAAGCATTTTGTGTGCATCAAAAATGGGAGCCTTCAGATTGATTGACACGTGTTGTTGGTTGTTTCCAGCACAGGTCAAACAGCAGCCAGGTGCTCAGACCTGAGCATGAGGTCATGACCTCTGCATGCTCCCATCAAAGCTCACTCAGTCGGTGTTAAAACCAGGTGCCCCCTCTCTTGTTGACAATAGACACATTGCTATTGTTTTCAGAGCCCTATCAGCGAAGCATGATGTGTTGCTGCCAATGTCTGAGCAAATGCACGTCCTGTCCTGTGTTGCTCTCCCTTTCTCCTGCTGCCTGGAAACTTCCTCTGCTGATAAAAAAGTGATAAAAACAATTTGGACCAACAAACACGATCATGTTTTCATGCAACCTTGGTCAAAGACTCTTTACACAAGCCTCCAGGCCGCTTCTTGTCACGAAACAATGTGAGAGCACAGTCGCTCATTGCGTGTGTCAGGACGGCCTGCTGGAGCAGGATAAGCCAAAACAACATTTAAAGAACAGCGAGGATAGCGGGCACTTGAACTGACGCAAGACCAAAGATAATGTGCAAGAACGAAGTTGGGAGAAAGTTCCTGCCATGGGAGAATTGAACGTGAATGGAAACTGTTATCTCCCCCATCTTTTCTATCTTTTTGGAAGACAAAGCAGTTTGTGTGTGAGAACAATAAAAGGAATGTAATATACGCGTATACACGTTTGTGTAAATATTGTTTATATTATCGTCACACCTGAAGCATTGCAAAGAAGACTCATTATATGAAATTTTACCAAAGCAGAAATATACATCCATTCATACTTGTCCAGTCCATACTTTTCCAACAATATATAACAATCATTCAAACAGTATACATGCATTACTGTGTGAAATATTTACACAAGCTTACATTCTGAAGATGTTGGCATGTCCGAGGCAAATGCTTTTTGAACGTAACAACCTCTCTTTCCATTTCCACAACATATCTGTTCCACTTCTCTAACAGGAACTACAGATGCAATACCATGTCGTTTAGCGCAGAGTTGATGTGCAACTAAAAGGTGCTTTGTGTAACTGCTTGTTAGAAGTCCTGCTGCGTGTTACAGCCCAGCACCTCCAGGCGCAGAGCGATGTCGTTGATCCAGCCACGAGGGTAGATGCGCAAGTAGCGGCCGAACAGGGCCCGCTCAAAAACGGTGAGGGCCTCTTCGTCCGGGTCGTTGTTACCTGTGAAGATCTAAAATAGAAAAAGAAGAAGTCTTGCTTACTCGACACTTCTTGACAGAGTTCTGAAGCACGCAAGGATAGAAAAAAGCCAATCAGTTGTGTACCTAATGCTTTTTTGTTTGTTTTTTGGGGGGATCTCTTGACAGTATAAATGTGGCATGGATCGCTCCCTTGGCAAAAAGTAGTTTATTCAAGTAGATTTTTAAAAGTAAACTTTTTTTTTGGCACTAAATCGGAGGCATTATACTTTAAGTGTACTTTTTAAATACTTTATTTTGATAAACTTCACAAAAGTATGCTTTAGTACACTTGGCTTGTACTGAAAAGTACAGTATACAGACAGATACATATACCGGTAGTATACTTTTAAAACTGAATTTGTTCCAATTTAGAATGAAAAAGTACACTTTATATAATTATACTTGAGTGTCCTTTATAAAGTATACTTCATATCTACTTATTTTTTGTAAGTGTACGTATGTGCGATTTGGTTGTACCATCTCCCTTTGCGAGTCCTTCTCCAACACAGTGCTCCATGAGACTCCATCGAGACTGACAGACACTGAGAACTCTGTGACCATCATCTGTGTCAAGTAAGACCTCGCCCCCTGGGTGATGACACCTGTGATGCGCTTGACTGAGGTCAGGTCCACTTGCAGCCATTCGTGAGGGTTGTTACTCTGAGGATAAAATGATGAAAGATCATTTTTAAGAGGGAAGGGAATGGTTGCTTGCCTTCAGTTTTTAGCTATTTAAGGGCCCTTAGGCACTGTGATGTCATTTTCACTCAACAGCAAGTGGAAGTACAGGACAAAATGGCCCCCCCTTGAGTTGGAAAAAATGGGTGGAATTCTCTGCTGAACTCATATAGAACATATTGTTAAAAAAAAAAAAAAATTGACTTGACTTCCCCTTTAACAACTATCCTGAGATTAATCACTGAATCACTGGCAACATTTGAAAAGCCACCATTCTGGTGTTTGTTATAGCTGGCCAGCAGTGCTTGAGTTCTCGCCAAGGATCACAAACTTGACCCGTGATCTTTTATAACAAGCACAGTACAGGTCATACCTCAATTTCGCATTTTGGGAAGATGATAAATTGGCGAGGGCAGCACAAAGATAATCAAAGCAGAGCAGCGACAGAGTCAAAAGAAAGACACCATCTCTGAAGAATACACAGTGCCGTTAAAAAGTATTTTAGCCCCTTCCTGATTTCTGTATTCTTTGCATATTTATCACACACAAAGGTTTCGGTTCATCAAACAAATTTTCATATCACACAGAGACAACCCAAGGAAATACAAAATTTAATTTATTAAGGCACCAAACAACAAATTCAAACCTACCTGTCCCTATGTGAAAAAGTAATTTTATATTTCCTTGGGTAGTCTCTGCGTGATATTTAAATTGGTTTGATGAACTGAAACCTTTGCTTGTGATAAATATACAACAAAGAAATCCGGAAAGGGGCAAATACTTTTTCACAGCACTGCATCATCATCAGTTGGAGAAGTTTGCCTTTAGACTGGACAACAATGAGACCAGCTATGCTGAAACACGAGCACACTGCACGAAGAGTACTTCTTGACAATAAGCAAGTGATTTCTGTCTTAATGTTATGAGTTCATTTACTTTGTCTCTTTTTATTCGATCATTCATTGTGTTTTTCAAATAATGTTACCTGCTTTATAATCAATGTACCATACTTTAAATGAAAAAAAAATGATGACATTGGGATACATATGTTTAGAGGTGCATTGGGTAGAGTACTTTATTTTGTTTGTTATTTGGACTTATGGTACGCTTGGGACGGTGGGGTTAGAAGATGGGTCACTTGCTTCTGCATGCTAATTTTTTATGCCTATGTTTTCGCTCTTCTGCTGATATTTTGTTAGTTAACAATAACAATAGAAAAGAGTGGCAACATCGCTTCGAAAACATGTTAATATACTGCCTGCAATACTCTTAAACGGATTTACCTCCTTATCATATTGGCCATTTACATGAAGACAAGTAACATGCAAAGGAGTTCACCTTGGGCCTCCAGGCGTTGGCCCTACCCTCCTGATGGAGGCGGGCGAGGGTGGGGCTCCATGTACGCAGCATGGATGAACGATATGAGGAGGCGGTAATGTCAGAAATCAGTCCGCTTCTGAGACCAAGTGGATATGAGCAACCTGCACGGACACACACAAATGTCCACACACACACACACACACACACACACACACACACACACACACACACAC